AATGGTAAGTGTGAAGGAGAAGGTCCTAGGTTGATCTTCTGAGAAGGAGAAGGTCCTAGGTTGATCTTCTGAGAAGGAGAAGGTCCTAGGTTGATCTTCTGAGAAGGAGAAGGTCCTAGGTTGATCTTCTGAGAAGGAGAAGGTCCTAGGTTGATCTTCTGAGAAGGAGAAGGTCCTAGGTTGATCTTGGTTTGTCACGGTGATGGATCTCTCTAGGAACGAGGAGGAACGGTTCCTGTTTCAGGGAGGACTTCACAAATGTGCCCAATCTCCTACAGGGAGGACCTCTGTAGACAGCCCACATTTGTTGTCTTCTCATTGCTTCAAATTATGGATGTCCACCTCAAGGGCATCTCCAGCGATCGTTTGTTTCCAACTTTTGCAACCAGAGGTAGCTATGGGGAACACGATAGAGGGGACTAACCTACATTTGGTTCTGTTGACTGTTGGATGTGCTGTAGACCTGCCTGTCTAACCCATTAACTGCAGCTTCTTCCAAGGCCAGAACCAGCAGTGGTCTCCTTGTGCTCAGGACTCCACGTAGATAAGAGAAACACAGAGTTGGAGGGGACCTTGGAGATCTTCTAGTCCAGCCTCCTGCCCAAGCAGGAAACCCTAGACCACCACAGTCCAACTTTGGAACTTTAAGACTGGAGTGGACTTCCTAGAGTTCAAGGAGTTGATGTCCACAAGTCTTAAAGCTCCCAAGGTTGGACACCTTTACATTCCAGACGAACGGCTGCCCAGCTTTCCTGAACACCTCCAGTGACGGAGCTCCCACGACTTCTGAAGACAAGCTGTTCCACTGGTTGATTGTCCTCACTGTCAGGGAGCGTCTCCTAGGTTGCTCCTCTCCGTGGTTAGTTTCCATCCGTTGCTCCTTGTCCTGCCTTCAGGGGCTTTGGAGAACAGGTTGACCCCCTTCTTCCTTGTGGAAGATCTCTTGGCAGGGTCTCCTTCCATCTCTTCATTTTTGCATCCTCCATCAGGGTCCTAAATAGCATCCAGAATTAAATCAGAATCCAAGGCAAAGGATTCTTCAAAGTTCCAATTTATGAAGAGAGCCATATTGGCACATCTGGGAAAACCTGAATCTGAAAGCTTCCCGGTTTTCGCCACCCAGTTGAGAGTTCATGACCTTGCGCCCCACACCCATAAGTCCATCACATGGTCCCATCTCCCACTGCCACGCTGGCAGCTTCCACCCATCCAGTTTCAGGCAGGTGCAGAGACAGAGGATGACCTTGAGTTTCTAAGAAGAATGTTGTTATGGCTACATAACATCTAACTCCATACAATCCCCAACTCCCATTTTCCCACCATAGAAAATGCCTAGCAGAATAATAGAAAGTGTGGCGGGCCCGAGACTCAACAGGAAGCTGCAGGCCTGACGTCCTGAGTGGATGGTCCAGGTGGTGACACACTCTGTACCGCCTCTACCCCCCCCCCGTCCCCCAGGGACCAGGCCGAGAGGACAAAGCAGGGGTTCATGGACCGCAGCCACCGTCTCCCTTCTTTCCATCTCAGGTGGCCGCTGCCTGGACCTCGGCCGGAGCGCCTTCTGCAAGTGTCGCCCGGGCTTTGCCGGCTCCCGCTGCGAACTGAACATCGACGACTGCGCGTGCAACCCCTGCGCTAACGGGGGCACCTGCATCGACGGCCCCAACTCCTACTCCTGCTCCTGCACCCTGGGCTACGGGGGGAAGGACTGCAGCGTTCGCATGGACGCCTGCAGCTCCAGCCCCTGCCAGAACAGCGGGACCTGCTACACTCACTTCTCCGGCCACGTCTGCGAGTGCCCCAGCGGCTTCATGGGCTCCAACTGCGAGTTCCGCGTCCAGCTGCCCACGCCCGTCAGCAGCCCCTGGATGGCCGAGGGGCCTTTCCCCACCGCCCTGGCCGTCTCCTTCGCTCTGGGGCTGCTGACCTTGCTGTTGGCCGCCTGCGCCATCCTGGCGCTGCTTCGGCACATGAGGAACGGGCCCCACCCGCTGAAAAGCCGCGTCTGCAACGACCTGGCGGCCGTCAACAACTTCCGAGAGCGGGAGAGCCGCCTCCTTCCGCGCGGCTGCTTTAAGGTCTCCAACAAGGACGGCCGGTTTGACGGTGACAGCTTCAACTGCAAGAGGAAACTCCTGGACCAGAGTTACGAGTCCATCTGCAAGAAGCCGGACAAGTAAGTGGCCCCGTCACCAGCCAGGAACTTGGGGAGGGGGAGGGGTTGGCTGGCCAGTCCTGTGAGTAGGTGAGCGGCAGTGGAGAATGGGATCAGCAAATGACCCATGTGCTGTGTTCAAATCGCACGAACCTAATCTAAACCATTCAGATAAACCCTTCAAGCCCAGAGGTTCCTGTTTGCATGCTGAGCCTGATTTTCTTTGGGGGGGGGGGTCTGTTACAGCCATGACGGCTTGTAACTTTATGGCATTCAGGGATGTGGTGAGTTGCCTGCCAAGATATTGCAGGTATTTCCAGGGCCTTCTCCAAGCTGGTGCCCTCCAGATCTAGTGGTTCCTCTTCCCAGCATAATGCTCGCTGGTAAATTGGGTAAACAACTCCTCCTCCTCCTCCTCCTCCTCCTCCTCCTCCTCCCTGCACTTCAGAATCTTAACCTCCTGGAATGGCAGAATCTGGAGGTGGAGTCAAGAGAGGCAGCAGCCTAGCATCCCTCCGTAACCACAAGTGAACTAAGTCCAACCTCCCTCGATTGCCATTCACCCTGATCTAACCAATCAGGCGCGGGACCACTAGTCGGGCAGATTCCTGCCCATGAACTCTTTCACAGGGCCTTAGTTTTACTGGATCTCCAAGTGGAGACCTGATCTTTGGTGGCTGGCGATAATATTTGAGAAGGAGGCATCCTCTTTTGCAGGCAGGTGGTGGCGAAACAGACGACAGGATATCTCCTTTACGGCAGGGGTCTCCAACTTTGGCCACTTTAAGCCCGGAGGACTTCAACTCCCAGAATTCCCCAGCCAGCAAAGCTGGGAGTTGTAGTCCTCCAGGCCTAAAGTGGCCAAGTTTGGAGACCTCTGCTTTACGGGGCATCTCAAGGAAAGGCTACCCAACCACCTGGCTGGGCACCAGCAAGAGTTTGACTTTGGGGGGAGGGGGGGCTATAAGGGGGCCCCTGGCTCTGGGTTCAAAGTTTGGAAAAAATACCCCATCCTTAATCACAAGAAGGACGTTTCCTAATTTGTTGACTCGAGCAAAGCTTGTCGTCTTTATCATCGTGCAGAGAAACTGCACATAAAACGGAGTGGTGTTTCCATCCCACGGCTTCCTTCCTGGCGTCCCTGCGGAGACCCCCCTCCAGATTTTGCCTTTGTGACCCCGAATTGTGGCGGGGAAGAGCACCGTGTCCTCACTCCACCGCCTCCTTGTTTTCTCCCCTGTAGTAAACCGTCGGAGCTCAGCTGGCCTGTTGTGGCGGAGTGTCCGAAGGACGGTGCTTATCACCCGATCTACATCATCCCCGGCCAGGTGGAGCCCTGCGTTTACGCCACGGAGGTAAGGCACCGATGCTCCCCTGGGACTCAGCAGGGTCTGTTGGGGCTAATCTCAGCCTTTCAAAGGAAGCTAGAAAGAAACAGGCCATGCAGAGACTCAAGAGAGTTTATATATGTATGTATGTATGTATGCATGTGTATGTATATATATATATATATATATATATATATATATATATATATATATAT